GCCCCCCGGACCAGCTAGGTGCAACTGGCGGTCCTGCCCCGGGAGGGGTCCATCCTGTCCAACAACTACCCCTGCTACATCACGGGCTGGGGTCTCACCCGCAGTGAGTGCCAACGGGTCTCCCCAGCCCTAAATCACCCAAAAAATGTGGGAAACGTGGGGAGCTGAATGATATTTTTAAGCCCTTTGAGGTCCCAGGAGGCATCACACAGGGCTTCGCTCCAGGCATGGAGATGCCCCATGTTGGGTGGGGTTGTACCAAGGTTTTGGGGGGGATTTTATGCAGGAAAAGGGGCTCGATGGCGGCTACAGGCTCTGCTTTGGTGAGGGGGGAGTTTGCCGAGTCTCGCAGGTCTTTGCCGGTATGGCATTAACCAGCGCTTGGTTTCATGCAGCCAACGGGCAGCTCTCCAGCGTCCTGCTGCAGGCGTACCTGCCCGTGGTAGACTACCAGATCTGCTCCAGCCCCTCCTACTGGGGCTCCACCGTCAAGACCACCATGGTCTGCGCCGGCGGTGACGGCATACGCTCCGGCTGCCAGGTATGACCCCCAACATCCCGCTTTCCCCCCCGGCATCCCACCGCCATCCCCATTTCTCCCATCTCATATGGGTTCCTCGGTCCGGCAGGGCGATTCGGGCGGTCCCCTGCACTGCGCGGTGAACGGGCAGTACCAGGTTCACGGCGTCACCAGCTTCGTCTCCAGTCTGGGCTGCAACGTCGAGCGCAAACCCACCGTCTTCACCCGCGTCTCTGCCTACATCTCCTGGATGACGAGCGTAAGGCGATGGCGGGGCTCGGGCAGCCAGGGGCTGAGAACTGGCGCTACCATTGCACCGATGCACCGGCTCTATCCCTCTGCTCGGCTCAACCATTGCCCTTCTTCTCCTTCCAGGTGATGGCCCAGAACTGAGCGGTGGCAGGAGAGGAGCCCGGTCCCCGGCTCGGGCGATGGACATCATCTTCCCCCACCTTTTGGTCGGAAGGGTTTAAAACCCATAGCCAGTGTCAATAAAATCTGTTCCTCTCTCTGGCACGCTGGTGGATGCTTTGCCCCACAACCCGGCAATCCTTTCTCCTCCAAGCCTCAGCATCCTTTTCCCCTCCCATATTCCAGAGCATCCCCTTGGCCGCGTCCCGCCTCTTCCTCGCACCTTAGGAAAGAGCTGTGGGGAAAAGCGACCGGCCTCACGCTCTCGGGGCAGCCAGAAAGTCCTCGGGATAACGGGAAAGGAGAAAATGCTGCAAATCCCCTCTGTGAGCAGCGATGCAGCTCCTTGGGGATGCAGGGGGGATGCAGGGGGATCCAGTTGGGATTTTTCCCTGCCACTAGCTCCATTTCTCTTCCAAAACCGACCTCCTTTGCAATGAGAGATGTTGGATTTGGTGGCTGTTACTGCCTCGCCCCACCGCTGCATCCTGGAGGAGCCGACTGTGCCACAACCCCACCTGGCATGGGGATAAAAAGCCAGCACTGAAATTGCACCAAAATCCAAATTTAACCCCAAAACCAGATGCTTGTGGAAGAATTACGAGATGGGTGCAGGTTTCCCATCACCCATTTGGCCCACCCATGTCGCTGGGTGCACGGGGGGAGCCTTTCCGGGGGGGGAGCGCGGTGGGGGGGGCCCGGGTGCTCGGCGGATGCCAGCAGCTGCCTCGCCTTGAACTTCCTCCGTAGCAAACATCAAACCGCAGTGCGCGGCTGCGAGCAGGAACCGAGCTGCAGCCATGGCAGAGGGCAAGAGCGGGGGAGCCGGGCTCTTTGCCAAGCAGGTCCAGAAACGGTTCAGCCGGGCGCAGGAGAAGGTACGGCGCGATGGGGGGGCCCGGGTGCTCGGCGGATGCCAGCAGCTGCCTCGCCTTGAACTTCCTCCGTAGCAAACATCAAACCGCAGTGCGCGGCTGCGAGCAGGAACCGAGCTGCAGCCATGGCAGAGGGCAAGAGCGGGGGAGCCGGGCTCTTTGCCAAGCAGGTCCAGAACCGGTTCAGCCGGGCGCAGGAGAAGGTACGGCGCGATGCCCAGCCCCAAAACCCCTTCCTTTATTTTACTCTTTAATTTTTTTCTACTGCGGTGCTGAGGGGGTGGCACAACAGGCACCACTCAGCACCCACGGGTGCTCATAGGGTGTTAATTTGGGCGCTTCTGGGTCAACGTCATCGTTGCTCCAAGGCTTTGGGCTTGATGGCATCTCCCCAAGTCCCCCAAGCTGCTTTGGCAGCTGCTGGGTTCTCCAAAAGTGGGATTTTTTTCCACCCAAAACGCCTTCCGGTAGTTACGGAGGGACCGTGCGCTGCTGGCACAGGGTCCCTTGGGCTGGCCAGAGGTGACAGTCCCCAGCGGGACCCAATGTGGGGATGGTCCCAGGAACGCTGGCGTAGCCCGCACCGGCCGCGCAGGAAGCGAGGGGGAAGGGCTCCGGAAGCAGGCAGAAGCGGGGCGATTCTCAGCTGTTTTGGGGCGGTTCAGAGGCGTCTTTTTCCCTTTCTCTCTCCAAAAAAGCAGGCAGCGACTCCCATTTTGGGGGCGATGCGAAGCCCCCCCCCCAAACCAAACTCAACCCACGCACTCCCGGGTTTCCTGGCTGGGGCTTGGTGCTAAATTCAGCTCCCCCGCGGCCGTATCAGCCCAGGCCAGGCCCCGGCCCCTTCCTGGGGGGGTCAAACTCTTCCTGGACACCCCAAAGCTTCCTCCTGAGTGGCCCTGGCCCCACCGCGCTCCTGCGATGGTGGCTCCAGAGGCAGCCTTCAGCCCGCAGACCATCCTCATCCTCAGCACGGTGTCACCGGTGCCCAGTGAGGCAGCACCCAGGGCTTTGCCTGCCCCCATAGTCACGTGCACGGATGTTTTGGGGTACATAGGGCTGTACCTACAGGGTTTTATAGGGTAGGGTGATGGGTTAGCACCCAAAAAGTCACCGTTTTCCTCTAAAAAAATAAAAGCACCAAAGGATACGCCGGAAGTTTTGCATCCCCCATCCCAATCACTGCTCGGCATCGGCTCCGCCAGATCCTCAGCATCCCCCCAAGCGCAGTTTTTTCCAGGGCTGACCCTGATCCCCGCCAACAGGTAGAGCCCGGTGGGCAGCGCCGAGCTCGGGGCTGACGGCTTTTCCCACATCTCCATCTCTCTCCATCCCAGGTTTTGCAGAAATTGGGCAAAACGGTGGAAACCAAAGACGAGCAGTTCGAGCAAAGCGCGTACAACTTCCACCTGCAGCAGGTCACACCGGGGAGCGGGGAAGCAGGGGGATGGGGACACCCCTACACCAGCCCTTGACCCCGCTGTCTCCCGGGGTCCCTCCGTCCCCGCCGGGCTCGTGGAAATCACCGTGAGCCCTCAGGAACAGCCCTGACCTGTCCCCTCGCCGCATTGCTTTGCAGAACGAAGGCAATAAACTCTACAAAGACCTCAAGGCTTTCCTTGGCGCAGTGAAAGGTACGGCACCCCGTCCCCCTAAATACGCTGGGAAAACCCCGAGGGCACCACGGAGGAGCTGGGAGGGGGTTGAGCGTTGTTGCATTTTCTTATCTGGAATAAGAAATAATAAGAAATAATAAGAAATAGAGTAAGAAATAATAAGAAATAGTAAGAAATAATAAAAATTAATAAATAATAATAAATAATATTTTTGCATCCCCTGGCTGGGCTGCAGTGATGCACGAGAGCTCCCGGAAAGTGGCCGAAACACTGCAGGAGATTTACAGCACCGACTGGGACGGTCACGAGGAGCTGAAAGCCATCGCAGCTGTGAGCCCCTCGTGCCCCCGCTGTCCCCAAGGGTCCCCCTCGAGCAGCAGGGGGGCCGGCGAGCTGAGGGGCACGGGGGCCCTGAGGCAGCAGCCCGGCACGTACGGCCGGAGGGGAGGCTGGGGGAGGAATCCAGGCATTATACCCGTCCCCCTTTTTTCCACCCCGCAGAGTAATGACCTCCTGTGGGACGACTACGAGGCGAAGCTGGCCGACCAAGCCCTGCGGTTGATGGAGAACTACCTGGCTCAGTTCGGGGACTTTAAGGTACCGCCCCGTGCGCGATGCTGGGTGGGGGGGACGGGGACGGGGGGGAGCCGGATCCTGGCTCACCTTGCCCCCTGTGCAGGAGCGCATCGCCAAGCGGGGCCGTAAGCTGGTGGACTACGACAGCGCCCGGCATCATCTGGAAGCTCTGCAAAGCGCCAAGAAGAAGGACGAGGCAAAAATCGCCAAGGTCGAGCCTCCCGCAGGACCCCCGCCTGGCACAGCCCCCCATGCCCCAGCCGTGCCGGCAAAGCCATGGCCCTCCCTTCCCTCCCCACAGGCCGAGGAGGAGTTTAATAAAGCCCAAGCGGTGTTTGAAGACCTGAATAGGGACCTTCGGGAGGAGCTGCCGGTTCTGTATGGCAGGTACTGGGGGTGTTGCTGGGGCTGGGGGACATCACGGGGCTGGGGGACTTTGCAGGGGATGGGGGACATTGCAGGGGCTGGGGGATATTGCAGGGCTGGGGGACATTAAAGGGACTGGGGGACATCATCACAGAGACTCGGGGACATCACAGGGCTGGGGGACATCGCAGGAGCTGGGGGG